AGCTTTTCATTTTCTGTGGAAACATAACCAAAACTCTTTTCCCAAGTAACCGGTCCTTGTATTTAAAGTTAGAAGTCAAGGCATTTTCAAAAGTTATAAGTTGGATTAATTCGGCAGCACTTATAATCAAGTATACTTTAGCAGTTGTTCCTTCTTTAGCAATCAAAAAACTGAAAAACACAATAGCATACAGTATCCAGACTTTCTGTGTATTTTCCATCTTTACGTGGCTTATTTATTATTATTACTCTATTTCTTTTATTTTTATTTCTTTTTTTATTTCTCTGAGACAGGGTTTCTCTGGAAATCTGCCTGCCTCTGCCTCTGGGGCAAATCCTACTGGCATGTGCCACCACAGCCGGCTTCTCTATTTATTTACCACTATGCCATTTCTTTTTCTCTCTCAATCAAAAAAAATATATATATATATATTTTTTGGTTTTTCGAGACAGGGTTTCTCTGTATTGTTTTGGAGGCTGTCCTGGAACTCGCTCTGTAGACCAGGCTGGCCTCGAACTCACAGAGATCCACCTGCCTCTGCCTCCCGAGTGCTGGGATTAAAGGCGTACACCACCAACGCCCGGCTCCTACGTATATTTTTAAACATACTGTAAACCTTTACAGGTTTTTCTTCATCCAAGTCTGACTTTACTGTAAATCTTTATGTTTTTCTGGCCACATGTCTTATCTGTTAAAACTGCGGCTGTTTAAACTGCAGTTTTTCCAAGATGGTGGGCATAAGCATGATTCCAGCTCACTGTCTCAGTCTATGCTGACATCCAGCAAAAACTGCCAGATTGGAGATGTGGTCACTGCCACTTCCAGCTGTATGTACACACCTTTCAATTGTTAGCAGAGCCTCTTAAAAGAACCTTGCTTGTTGGGGAAGTCCTGTTATTTGCCTGTTATTTGCCTGTTATTTGTCAATAAAGCACTGTCTGGCCTATAGGGAATCTAGATAGGAGGGACTAGGAGTCCAGGAGGATTCTGGGAAGGAGAAACACAGGAGAGTCAAGATGTAACGCCATGGGGTAGGAAGCCCAGAACCATTCTCTGGTAAGAGAAATACATAGATTAACAATTATGGGGTAAATACTTAAGTCAGAGCTAGCCAGTAAGAAACAAGCAAGGCCAACAGCTTCATAATGAATATAGCCTCCTGTGTGTTTATTTGGGACTGATGCGGCTCTAGAACCAGGCTGGCGGGAAGGCCCTTATCAAAAGAAAAAGCTTCTCTTTACACTTGCTGGTTTTTTTTTTTTTTTTTTTTTTTGCTTATGCTGAGTCAGGAAGACTCCCTTAAGTGAGCTGCATGAGTCTCTGCTTGTGGCTAACAAAACAGAGCCCACCTGAAAAAAATGCTGCTACCAAGAAGCTGTGCTTCTCTCTGTTCTTTTGTTTCTAAGATCCCTTTTAAGCTTTTGTCATTCTACGTGCAAATTCAGATCCCGATTCTGACAACCATTTGTAGAGAGAAGCCTTCCTGCCAGCCTGGTTCCAGAGCCGCATCAGACCCAAATGAACACACAGGAGACTATATTAATTATGAAGCTGTGGCCGTTTGCTTGATTTCTTTTTTCTTTTTTGGTTTTTTTCAAGACAGGGTTTCTCTGTATTGTTTTGGAGGCTTTCCTGACATTTTCTCTGTAGACCAGGCTGGCCTCAAACTCACAGAGATCCACCTGTCTCTGCCTCCTGAGTGCTGGGATTAAAGGCGTGCGCCACTAACGCTCGGCTAGTTTGCTTGATTTCTTACTGGCTATCTCTGACTTAAGTATTTACTCCATAATTGTTAATCTAAGTATTTCTCTTACCGGAGAAAGGGTCCGGACTCCTTACCCCTATGGTGGCTACATGATGTCTGCCTGTGTTTCTTTTTCCCAGAATCCTCCTTGACTCCTCGAGGTTATATAGGAAAAAACAATATATTTATTTATCAGGGAGAGAGAGTCGCACATACCAGGAGTTAGAAGCGTGGCTGGCTTCCAGGAGAGAAGAGGGAGGCCCCTTTTCCTTTTACTACCTTTTAATCTCTACCTTGACCCCGCCCTGTTGGGCAGGTAGCTTTGTGGGGTTCACTCCTACCTCCCACCTATCTTACTTCCCTATTGGCCAACAGTGCTTTATTCAACAAGCGATAAGAGACAGATTTACAGAATGGCATCTCCCATCACAAAACAAACAAACAAAACACACACACACACACACACACACACACACACACACACACACTGAGAGAGAGAGAGAGAGAGATTACATCACTCTAGCTGTAAAGCTCTGGTTCTTGGAACACTGCATACCAGACAGAACTTTGTACGTAAGTATTTTTATCTGAGCAGAAGATACAAAATTCTTACCAGATTCCCAAGGAAACACAGCATGGCTCTGAGATACTAAACCACTTGCAGACATACAGGGCCTGAACTTTTCATGGTCTCAACTCTTCCTTAGAGCTGAGGATGACCTTGAATCCTTGATCCTGCTGACTCTGCCTCCTAAGTACTGGGATTATCAGTGCATGACTGTCACACCCAGTCCTCAGCTCTTCATTTTATAGCCAAGGACAGATAAAACAGCCGGAGACTTGCACAAGGCTACACAGCAGGTCTTCTGAAAGCTAGGACCTGGGATCATGAATTTGGGATTTAATATATTCTACATTATGGTGGGTTTTTTGTTAGTTTTTAAACAGGGTCTCACTGTGTAGCCCTGGTGGCCTGGTAGACCAGACTGGCCTTGATCTCACTGAGATCTATTTGCCTCTACCTCCTGATTGCAGGAATTAAGGGCATGTACCACCATGCCTAGCCACTTAAATTTTGTCTTTAGCAGGAGTATGGGTGAGCAACACATACACCACAGGGCATGTGTGTGGAGGTCAGAGGACAACTTCTGGGGGGTCAATTCTCCCATTCTCCTTTGCTGGTTCCAAGTATCAATGTCAGGTTGGCAGGTTTGGGGACAAGCATCTTACCTGCTGAGTCACTCATTAGACCTCTCTTCCCTCTCTCTCCTCTTTATTTCAGATAGTTTCATAGTGTACCTAGGCCAACTGGGAACTTACTATGTAGTCCTGGATCTGAACACATGGCAATTCTCCTGCTCCAGCATCTTGAGTAGTGTTAGCCACTATACCTGGTTTCCATCACAGCTTCTTAGTCTGTGGGGTCTGGGCTTCAGGATCTAAACTGCATGCTGAGCAGGGATGGTGTGCTCTCTCCTTCGGGCTGGAGTACTACTTTATCAGATTTTCCAAGTGGACTTTGACTTCACTAAGACTGAAGACCACTGCAGCCCTCAACCCTGTCCTCAGCCCTCCCTGCAGGACGAAGACAACTCCTGGGCAAAGCTGTTTTGTCAGAGTGGGGGCGTAGCGTGAGGGCTGGTGCCGTGTCCCGCACCACACATCCCTTCCCGGCACGCTGACACCAGCACTTTTCTCTGCAACGGGCTCAGAGTGAGGCAGTGCACACGGTGACAGAACTGGGTGTGCTCAACAGGAAGGCTGCAGAAATTTCTTGACATCAGCCAAGATGTCAAAGCTATGACTTTGGACATACTTGAAACAGTTTCCACCAAGATGGGCTGTCCCCAGGGAGACAGAACAGGCGAGCCAGCAATCACTCAGTTAAATGTCGTCTTAATTTGGAAAGCACAGAGGGACATTTTTTTTTAAATCAATAGTCAGCCGTTCTCCAGCACCAAGAGTACAATGCAGTGCTCACTCAGCCTGGGGGCAGCCCAGAGATTGACAGGCAGCCTCCCCGGCTGTCACACAACTTCAGTTTGGCGGCTCACTGACCCTACCTCTCCTCTGGCGGAAACAAGAATGAGATGGCAACTCCACCCTTGGGACTCCGGAGGGAACCAAATTCCCAAAAAAGACAGGGTAGAGGAGGAGGGAGACTTAGCATAAGCTCAACTTAGCAAATCATATTTACCTGCCAAGTAGGTCAGCGTTTTCTAGCTCCTCCTAAGAATGGTGTATGTTATGAGGGCAATATAAACATAACTCAATAAATTTGAGTCAGAGTCTCTCACTGTAGGTCTGAACTCCAGGCAATCCTCCTGCCTCAGTCTCCTGAGTGCTAAGATTACAGACATAAGCCACCATACTTGGCTATATTTTCTATTTCTTGAACATTTTCTAAAGTGTCAGAAGTAGCATATAATCATTCATCCATCCACAAAACAAGTATTTAAAGCACCTACTACATGTAGACTTGTTGCTGGGCAGAGTAGATGCATTGAATAAGCATCTATGAGTGCCCTGCACTATATTAGCAACAATGATCTGCTGATCAGAACGGTCGGGTTTCCACCATCACGGCTTCCTGGGAAGAGCATCAGTACAGCTTTACTCAAAGGTCTCATGGCTGAGGAACCGGTTCCAGGGTTAGGCCTGGCATCCTGCATGCCCCAGCACACAAGCCAGGCTGTGGGGTCACCTCCCTGCCTGTCCTCCTCTCTCAGCACTGATGAGTCATTAACAGAACTTTAACGGCAGAAACACAGGAGTTTGGAGTCTGCCCATAAAGCCTGTCCCCTGGGGGTATACTGAGACTGTGGTGACTGCATTGAGACCACAGTGCCTGAACAGCCACAGGCTTGATAACATCTCCTAAGACTTCCACCCTTCCCTCTCTCCAGGCAGAGGCTCCTCTTTCTGAGGAAGGAGAATTTAGAACGTGGGTACCCGACAGTTTTGTTGAACTCATCAGGGACCGAGTGGGAAGAACCTCATGGCTCTATCTCGGCAGGGCACCTGGACCCACGGTCCGACCTCCATGGCTGGGGAAGCAGGTGGGGCATCAGGCAAATGACTTAAGAGTTGCTTAGTGAGCCTCCTGCTGGTGGTGACGTTTCCCAGGGCTCTGCTGCCTCAACCAAGAGCCTCCCTCTCATTGCAGGGCTTCCTGGAGTTCGCCTGGCTGAACTTCACTGTGAATCTATAAAGGGGCATCTCGGGCAGCGCTTCCCAAACTCACTCAAACACAGAAACCTTTCGCATTTGTTTATTTCTGCATCGCGGTTAGTGTATGTACTGCAAGGCTTCAGACTCGGAACATGGAACCCTCACCTTGCTTGGGACTCTGCTGTAGGTACTAGAACATGTCTCAGGAGCATAGTCTGTGGAAGCTGTCATACAAGGTATCCAATAGGGCCTCCTGAGGATGGCATGTATGGCAAATCTGGGAAGGGAGCGGGGAGCAGGGGAGGCACTGGGGCTTCAGGGTAAGGAAGGCGCTAGAACTGCATAGCTGAGACCACAGATGTTAGCAGAGTAGGGTGGGCAGCAGAAGACAGAGTACGCACCTATCCCTCCCATCTTTGAACTGACCATGCTGGCTGGGTGAGGAAATCATCCTGGGGTGGGGTGGGGGAGGGCTGGTCCTCCCTTCCTCCCACCCCATACCCACAGCCACATGTCTGCTATTGAACTTGGGCTAATTTCCAGAAGCCAGGGAACAGCTATTCACAAATTCAGTAATTGGAGTCATTAGCGTTGACTCAGAAGTCATTTTTTTCCTAAGTCTCGCTCTTGGAGAGCTTTTCAGACCCTTTAAATTGGTTAATGGAGAGTTTAGAGATGAGGATGGAGTCTCAGCTTCCAGCTCCCCTGCCCATCTTCCTGGCTCTCCCCAGGGCAAGAGTGAGGAGATAACCCACCATCTGTTTTATTAAACACTCATACATTCCTACCTGACCTTTCCTCAAAAGGACTCATGGTCTCTACTCTCTGACTCCATACCGACACTCCACACCTGCAGCGTGATGACAATGTTTTCAAATGATGCTGCAGTGTGGACTGGCAGACCAGCAATCTTGGCTGGAGTTGTGATGTCAGCTTTGATCCTCATTCAGGTCTCTTTTTTGTTTCTGTTTTTTGAGACTGGGCTTCTTTATGTAGCCTTGGCTGTCCTGGAATTCACTTTGGAGACCAGGTTGGCCTTGAACTCACAGAGATCCCCCGTCACTGCCTCCTAAGTGCTGAGATTAAAGGCGTGCACACCACACATGGCAGCTGGTAACTCTTAAGGCCATAGAACTGAGGTTATCAATCACTCTCCCTTCGGGAACCTAAGCAAGGACTAAGGTACTTTCTACAGCAAAACGGCTACGCCTCAGTCCTTTAAGGCAGGAGGACACAAGCTACTGTCCTTGGTCTACGATTGAGAAAAGAGTGTTAGAAAATCAGGTCACTGCTTCTAGGTGACACAGCCAGGCCAGAACTGAGGCCATTACAGCGCTCCTCTCCTTTATGTGCCGGGGAGGTGCTGAAGGATTCCAGGAAGGTGAGCAGCTAACGGGCTCTTCTTTGGGAATCAAGTTGTGATATTTCTGAGAACTCTCTCTCAGGCTCCATAGTTAAGGTGGAGGAGATCTGAAAAATATTCAAACAGACACATGTAAGCATCAGGCAACCTCTCCCCCTCCACATCGAAGATGAAAAAGGTCACGAGTCCACTGCAGATGAACAAGGCAAGAGAGTTGGAGACACTCAGCTTCCCAGGCTTCAGGCACTCATGGGGACACCTCCACACTTTTGTCACCTTCTGGGTCTGTGCTCCATTTGACAGGATGTTTTGTTTTAAGTCGATTCCCTGCTTTCCTTTATATTTTAAGGTTAGTTTTGCACATAAGCGCGAAAGAATTACAGGTCAATTTGTTTATTATACTTGGCATTTATATTAAACACATTACTAAATAAAGTAAACCATCTTGATTTACATGCCAAGTAAAATCTTGTCAACTACCGGGGGCATGCACACATCAAGGCTTGCTGGAAACTGAGTGTGGGGAAACTGAGGCACAGGAACAAGGTTAGTTATTGCTCAAAAACAAAGGCAAAGGTGACAAATGGGGTTTTGGGGGGGGTCACTGAGTGAAATTTTTTTTGTGCTACTTGGGAGACTACCCAGTGGAAAAAAGGAAAAGTCACTGATTAGCCATGCACTTCAAGTAGGTGGGCATCTGAGCACGAGCTGAATTGCTACTCCAGGAAGGGACACTAACACTCAATTTTGCTACCCACCTCCAGCACACTCTCTGCCCAGCCAGGGTTGTATCTGATCTCACCTTAGCCGAAACCCAGTCTCACGAGACTCATCTCCAAGGATGGAATAGGCCTGCTGGGGGCTCCACGGCTAGCTCCAAGACGGCCCCTTCTGCAGAGGAGGCCAAGGTTCCCCGTGCTGGAGGCATGAGGGAGGCCCGAGGCACCTGTCAGCAGGCTGTTCAGGCTACAGAGGGAGGGACTGGAGAAAGACTTCAGTCCTGTCATGGTCAGGCCGCTGGGCCCTGGGGCTAAAAAAAAGGTGACAGCAACGCTTATTCAGACAGTTCTCCTGACAGGGTCTCTCTACATAGTCCTAGAACTCACTATGTATACTATACTGGTCTCAGACTCAGAGATGCACTTGCTTCTGCCTCAAGTGCTGGTATTAAAGGCGTGTAGCAGGGCAGGGATTTCATACAGTGCCTGGCTCCCCTGGCATTGCTAATGGGGCCTAGCCCCAGTGACTCTGAAGTGGGACTCTCCTAGCCCTAGAGAGGTACCTGTCAGCCTCAAGACATTGGTTCTCCCCAAAAAATCATGACAGCAACCATCATCTACTGGTTTACTGGATATTTACTGTGTGCTAGACTATGCTATGCCTTTTTTTTAAAGGCAGTGTCTTGCTATGTTACCCAAGGCAACCCGGTGTATGTCACAGCATCCCAAATGTTGCAACTCCTGGGGTGCACCACCATGACAGGCTGTGCTAAACCTGTTATTTTCCTCAAGTATAGTGCTTGCAACAAGCTAAGGACTTAAGTTCTACTGTTCCTCTGATTGTCAGAGAAGAGACCAAGGCTGAAGGGAATGGAGACCCAGTTCAGTGACAGAAGAGGTCAAAACACAAAATTATCTCACTCTGCAAGCTGGGCTTTACCACTGGGGCCAGGACTAACAAGGAGACCTGGGGCTACCACCCTTTGTTGTTAGAGGGCACTGAGTCTGGAAGGAACCAGGCCTTAGCTTGCATTACCTGCTGCTTCCACGTTAAAGAGGGTTCGAAGCCTCTCCCGGGCCAGTTCATTCCCGACAGCTGCTGACTGCTGGTAGCACTTGACAGCCTCGCCCAGATTTCTCTGAACACCAAGACCCCTCTCGTAGCAGATTCCCAGGTGGAATGTGCTCTGAGAGTCCTAAAGGAGAAGACAGACAAGCTGAGCCAGGAGTGAGGCGGAGTCAGGCAGGTCTGCCCCGCCTTCGCCCATGCAGCCTGCCACATTCCAAGCATTCCATGAAATGCTAGAGGCCCAGTGCTTGTCCAAGGAGTTAGGTCCCTTTGCCTAGGGAGATTCGACCCCACCAGTGTGAAGGCCTCTCTTGCTGGGACTGGCTGAAAACAAGACTGCAGAAGGGTTCGGCCCTGGATGGGAAGGACACTGGGAGGCAAGCTTTGGCCTCTGACAGAGCAGACCAGTGCACAGAGAGATTTCTCAAAGCCAGGGCCACTTGAGAGGACAGCGGAACAGAGGCACAGCACAGGCGCGTCTTCTCCAGGCGTGCCTGTGCCTGGCCCCTCACTGACGGGCACTCCTCCATGAGACAGAAGTAGGCCTCAGGAACCTGGCTTGCAGAGCTCGCCCTCCTGGCTTCCAACCTAGGTGCCTCAGTTTCCTCGCCTACGGGACAGGGTAACAGAAGCACTACCTACTTAGGCTGCTCCGTATGGAAAGTGCTCAGGTCAGCGGCGCTGGCATCATACCATCATACTCCCCTCCAGCTTCTCACACCGCCGCGCGCTCCTCCCTTACCAGAGAGCTCTTAGCATATTTACTCCCTAATCAAAAGAATTCTATGGAGTCCCAACCACGGTCCCAATGCTCCTTTGTGTCCCACAAATGTCTGCCACATATTCTGTTCCCACTTGAGTGACACGAAGGCCAAAGTCCATAATAAATACCGTAAATTTTGAGCTGCAGACCAGGGTGGAGCATAGCAACAGGCATACGTAAGACCCTACCCCTGCAACACCACTCAGTGTAAGCCCCCAGTGACTAACACAGCGCTCCACAGCAAGGGACGGGTATCCCCAGCAGGCCAGAAGACCCAGGGTGTACCCGGCATATGGACAGCCTACTCCTCCTGAGGAGGAAGAGTTACTGGCTGCTGCTAGCTGTCCTCTTCTGTCAGGAACACAGGTACTATGGGCTGCACAGAGTGGCTGAGGTTAAGAAATCCGATGCAATAATGCTATCAGTATGCTGGTCAGAGAACAAAGAGAAGCAATAGTATCCTACGCAAGGGAAATGACACCGTGCATACTGCCTGAAGAACTCCTGACCCTTCCAGCTACAACAGCAATCCATGAACCACGGATCACCTTAGCATTTCAAAGTGAGGTTATCTACACACAAAACAACTATTTCCACTTAGTGCTCCTGAGATCCAAGTAATCATTCCTGTGGCATTCCTCATCAACATCCCACAGAACCAATTCCCTGTGGCACAAACGGGGCTGGCTATGCCACTTGAATGCCAACACCCAGGTCAGACAATCAAGTGTCCCTCTCTCATATGAGTCTGACTTCCCCAGGCCACCACAATGACTAGTCATGGGTACAACTTACAGAGGCCTGACACACCTGTCACCTTGGTCTGATACGCCCAATAGCCCTGTGAAGTAGCAGACAGTCAAAGTGGGCATTATTATGCTTGTTTTAAAGGCGATGAAACAGGTCCAAATTAAGAAGTGATGGCCAGCCAGGCAGTGATGGTGACCACCTTTAATCGCAGCACTTGGGAGGCAGAGGTAGGTGAATCTCAGTGAGCTAGAGGCCAACCTGGTCTACTGTGTAGCAAGCAACAGGCTGGGTGGCTGGGTGGCTGGGTGCCTGGGCGGCTGGGCGAGAGGAGTCCTGCTGTGCCACACTTCACAATGTCTGAGTCTAAGTAGTTCTATCTTAGTACCGCCTCCCTTAGGCTCAGCACCCCAGTGGCCCTGTCAAAGATCACACAGTGGGTCAGTGGAAGCCGTGGCTTGGCTAGTTCAAGGCTCCCGGAAAACGTACCATGAGCCCATAGCTCAGAAACAGTTCCCAAATCCCTTTTCTTATCAGACTTGATCTCCAATATGCACGGGCCAGAGATGGCATACATACCCCATTCTTGGCTGCTAGCCAAAGGTATTTCACGGCTCTCTGCTCATCCAGGTGTGGCTCCTTGGTAAAAAGCACCCCAAGGAAAGCTTGGGCCTATCAGGGAGAAAGGAAAAGGGCATCTTAGTCATTTTCAGGCTCTGCATACCTCACTTAGAATAGACCCCACTGGTGGACTCACCTCTCTCAAGCCGGAGTCTGCAGCCTGCGTCAGCATAGACACTGCCCCCTGCCACTCAGGGCCTGACAAAGAGTCTGAACTTTGCAACAGGCACCGGGCATAGCGGTACTGAGCCAGGCTGTGGCCTTGGATGGCTGCCAGATTGTAAAAGAGGATAGCCTGGGACAACAGAAGAAATGATCAGTCTGCAGGTAATCTGCCTAAATCATTCAAATACATACATTTAGATTAGTCAGGTAGATGCTGTCAAATCAAAATCTAAAAACCAGAAACCCAAAATTCAAATGTAAAACCCCAACATACCCTGCCTCCTAAAGAGCATTAGGGTTTTTTGTATCTTTGATCTATTATATTTCTGAGAGTGAGTCCTTATGTAGAGTTCCTGCATCCTATTATTACCTACATATCTCAGACTGACCTCAAATGTATAGAAACCCTTCTCCTTAGCCTCTAGAGTAATGGAATTACAGATGTATGTTACCATGCTCAATTAAGATCATTCTTGGGGGCTGGAGAGATGGCTCAGAGGTTAAGAGCACTGTCTGCTTTTCCAGAGGACCTGAGTTCAATTCCTAGCAACCACATGGTGGCTCACAACCATCTGTAATGAGATCTGGTGCCCTCTTCTGGCCTGGGCAGAACACTGTATACATAATAAATAAATAATTAAAAAGAAAAAAAAGATCATTCTTAAGTTTTCCCCCCATGGATCTGTTACACACACCATGTATACATTTACACATGTATGTTTGTGTACATGTGCATACATTGTATTTATTTTATTTTTGTTTTGTGTGCACAGATGTTTTGTCTGCATGTGTGTCTGTGCGTCACATGTGTGCAGCGCCTGTGGAGGCCAAAGAGGGTGTCAGATGCCCTGGAATTAGAGTTACAGGTAGTTGTGAGCCACCATGTGGGTGCTGGGAACGGAACCCAGGCCTTCTGAAAGAGCAGCCAGTGCTCTTGCCCGCTGGGCCACCTCTCCAGCCTATACATTACATTTACGTATGAACAGACTCATACGGAGAAAGATAGAACAGTGCACCATGAATGCCTTTGCTGGAGGAGCTCACTGGGTCTGGGGATGGGACAGTACCTTGCTGAGGTCCCTAGGGGTGCCTCTGCCATACTCCAGACACAAGCCCACATTGTACTGCGCTTTGCTGTAGCCCCGGTCTGCGGCTTTCTGGAAGTAAGAGAAGGCTGCTGTGTTGTCCCCTGTCTTCATGTTCTCTGTCCCTGTAGAAAGCATGGAGCATAAACACATTCACCCCTGTCCTTCCGCATCCTCCACCAGACCCTCAGGTGCTCATCTCCTCCCAGAGCCCCTCTTTTCTTCTTCTTTGGATGCATGAACACGGATAAATGTGCAGCATTTACTTTTCCAGTTGGCTCACTGGTGCCAGGGACACGGGGCTGGGGGGCTTGGTGCCAGAGATGAGGTGGCTGGTCAATAGTTCTGGCTGCCCTTTGGAACAACCCCTCCCCTGGGCTGTCAATCATAGGTCTGTGCTCTTCCCCACCAATGAGACTTTGTCAGAAGTGTGGCTCTTAATCTGGTTAACAACAGTATTCAGACAGCAGCAACCTTGAGACACTATCAGTGCTGGCCCTGGGTCTCTGGAGCTTCCTTGAGTGCCATTCCCCATGAGGCTCAGCAGCTCAAGTGATCCCAGAGACTCCTGGGTTTATGTCAGCTTAGAGAGGAGTCCTATTGCGCACCTGCGCCACACAGGTGGTCTTGCTTAGTTTTTTTTCTAAAGATTTATTTATTTATTATGTATACAGTATTCTGCATGACAGAAGAGGGTGCCAGATCTCACTATAGATGGTTGTGAGCCACCATGTGGGTGCTGGGAATTGAACTCAGAACCTCTGGAAGAGCAGTCAGTGCTCTTAACCTCTGAGCCATCTCTCCAACCTGCTTAGCTAGTCTTTGGGGCAAGGAAGAGCCTTACAGAAGTCTGGCTGACATCAACCGAAGCCAGGCCCTTTGCTTTCTCAGGCGTTGAGGAGATAGGAAATGTAAGGCAGGATGCCGGTTTCCATCTTTCCTCAAACTGGCTCCTGCCCGAGACCCGTGCTCTGCCTCTATCTCCAGGCCTCCCATTGTTTCAACTCTAGAACCTTCAGACCACACTTGGGGTTTAAACTCTTTTTAGGACTTTCCTAATATACCAAACCTTTGTCTATGGACACAGCTGGTACAAAAGAATAAGCCCCGTCTCCTCAATTATACTGTAAAATCCTCGAGGCAGGCAGAACAAGAAGGGAGAAGTAATTTTGCATGGGATGAAAATTCTACATAAATGCAAAATATGATTATAGCTTTTGCTGCCTTTGTGCTGTGCCACAGGGCTCAGCTCTGGCTGAATAAATGAATGTATGAGTGGGGGATGGGCCAGAGGAGTCTGAGAAGAGCCTGCCCTCAAAAAAAATCACAAAAGAGTCAACCAGGGGAAAAGCCACACTCCATTCAGCAAGCAGAGTTAAAACTCACTTCCCTTCCTCCTGAGAATCCCCCATCCAGGGCTCACAGAGTCCTCGAGGAGGAGGCTCGAGGGGCAGAAGACCCCACCTGAACCTTCTACTCCTCTGGTCACTGCAGCCCCCAGCCATGGCTAAGCCCTTATCACACCCTGCCGAGTTCTCAGCCAAGTCTTCCTGCCTGGTCTCACGGTTCCCTTCTGGCCCCTTCAATCCATGGTGATCTGGAAATAGCCACACAGATCTTTGGATGAGTAAGTCAGACCTCATGACCATCCCTCTTCCTGCTCCAGTGGTTTCCTGTGTCACGTAGGAAATCCCTGCTCTCTTCCTGGTTTCAGGACCCTACCTGGGCTGGCTCCGGGCTACTTCTCTGTCCTTTCTGTGATGGCTAGGTCCAGCCAGGCACCTCTTTTGTCCCTTAACAGAGAACTCAATGCTGTCACAGCACCTTTGCTCGCTTCTCCCTCTGATGGACAGCTTTCCCCAGATGGGAACAAAAGCAGCTTGCCTCTGTCAGCCAGGGTTAGCTAAGGGTCCCTTCTAGCATATAACTATGTGAAAAGTTGCTCTTTGCCCGGGTTAGAGAAGCAACCCCTTGCTCCATTTCTTTGTAATATCATCTCAGATTCTTTTTCGTTTGCTTGGTTTTTGTTTTTCATGACAGGGTTTCTCTGTATAGCTTGGCTGTCCTGGAACTCGCTCTGTAGACCAGGCTGGCTCTAAACTCATATAGAGATCTGCCTGCACTGTACCTGGCCAGTCACATGTAAACACATGTGAACACCGTGAGAGTAAAGAATCACCACATCTCCAGGACCTAGAGTAGGGATAGCAAAGGTGAACCTGCTCCGAATGAACCCTAGCCGCTCACCCAGCCAACTACTAGGTCCAACAGGTGCTGCCGGGAATACTGGGCTCTACCTTAGATGGCTTGAGACACGCAGAACCAGGACAAATGGCCAAGTCCTGTGGAGTCTCCAGGTCTGATGAGGGTTCGCTCCCACTATGCACTTGGGGCCCCGCTGCAAATGGCAGGAGCCTGCTCTTTTTTCATCCAGGCAGAGAATGCTGGGTGTCCCCTTTCTACTGTTTACACGGACAGAGTTTAAGAAAGCACATGGCCATTCAGCCAAAGACTACATTTCTCGCCTCCTCTAGAACAGATGGCCATAAGCCTACTTCTATAAAGGGCAACTTCAAGGTCATGCCCTTAAAGGAAAGGAGTGGTCCTCCAGCTTACTGTGTCTCTCCTCCCAGCTGCCAAGAATATACACAGGAGAGCAGGAGCTGGAATGACTAATACTGAACTCAAGATGAGAGCTCAGCACTTGCTGAATAAATGAATACATGAATTGGGGGGCAGGGAGATGGGCAAGCTCCCCTAGCAGAAAACTAGAGAGCTAGTTTTAAGATTGGCTGAACATGTAAGAGTAAGGATGGGTCCTTGACCCCACTGAACCACCATGCCACATCTGGTCTACCTGATAGAAGATACACCTCTTGTTTAAACCTCTCTCTCTTTCTCTTTTTCCGAGACAGGGTTTCTCTGTGTAACAGTCCTGGCTGTCCTAGAACTCAATTTGTAGACCAGGCTGACCTCGAACGCACTGAGATCCTCCTGCCTCTGCCTCCCGAGTGCTGGGACTAAAAGTGTGCGCCACACAGCCAAACGGCTCTCTACCCTGACCGTATTCCCCCCGCCCCATGCCCTTCCCATCCCTCATCCTCCTGCCTTGAGGAGGGGAAGCAGGTACCTAGGAAGTTGAAAGCGATGGCAACACTGAGCTCAAAGAGTTGCTGGACGGAAGTCACAGCCTCCTCCAGGGGAAGAGCCTGGGGCTTGTCTTGCTCCTGGGGAGGAAACAGAAGGCAGAATCAAGGTACGTTCACCTGGAGCTCCACCAGCCCCAAGAGTGGAGCAGGCATTCAGGGCACCAAACCTGGGCCATACATTTTCTTCTCCAAGGAGGCAGGTCTCGGTTGCCTTTGCCTGGGATGTGAAGTCCCCGCTGCTACGCAGGAATTCAAAGTCACCGGGCTCTGTAAAGGAGAGGCGACATCCAGGAGGTCAGGGAGAGGAGAGGGACGTGACTTCTCTCCTTTCTCTCCCAGTCTGCCCTGTCTAGTACCTCTCAGTCACCCCAGAAAGCAAGAGGCCTTGCTGGGGTGACAGCTACTTACCTGGGCACACAGAGCAAAAATCTACCAGCCCCTCCCTCTCCTGTGGTGTTAGGTCCATCCACCCCGCTCCATCCCACAGGCATTAGGTGAGGCTGTACCTTCTTTAGGTAGCTTCAGAGGGTCAGCTCTCAGGGAGTTGTCTGAAGGGCAGCTCTGTGGCTGAGCTGAGGGTTCTTCTTGGCGCAGCCTTGGTTCCCCGAGGCCAGTGTACGTGGGGGCGGGGCAGTCAGGCCTGGGAAGAACGTGCCTCCGGAGTGCTGGAGAGAGCCCCCGAGAAGGTCAGGTGAGAAAAAGCTGAGGTTTGGGAGGCCAGAGGAAGAACTGTGAAACTCCTGACACCCCTCTGCTGGTCTCCCTCTACAGCAGCCGCAGTTCTCAACCTGTGGGTCTCCACCCGTGGGTGGCTTAAGATGCAGTAATCACATTATGATTCAAAACAGTAGCAAAATTACAGTTATGAAGTAGCAGCAAAAATAATTTTACAGTTGGGGTTCTCCACAACATAAGGAACTGCATTAAGGAGTTGTAGCATTAGAAAGGTTGAGAACCACTGCTCTCCAGGGATCCACACTCATGCTGACCTCCCATCCTGAGCACAAATCACCTGAATTCTCCCAGTGGCAGGGAGTACCTACCTCATTCACTATCGTAGCCTAGCACCCAGCTTCATGCTTAATGCTAACACAAAAACTAATACTCCAACCAATAATGACCAAGTACACACGACATGCTAAGTCTTTGACACATATCAACTCATTTGTTCTTCCCAGGGAAGTCCATTTATTACTACCCTATTTTATGGATAAAGAAACTGAGGCATGACTAAAACTGATTTCTTCAGGGACACAAGAGTGGCTAGTAAGCAGTATTTGGGGGTTAGAATTCTTAAAAGCTGACTGCAGAGTGTCAGTCATGTGGCTGTAAGCTTTTTGCACACAACCCAAAATATACACTCAGTACTTTCGGTTACTGATGACTGCAGGACGGAACCTGACTGGTTGAGGATTGGGCAGGAAGCCACACCCAGGGTCTAAAGTAGCTTAGGTGTGGGGCTTCCTCTCTGGGAGGTGGCAGAAGGACACTGAGGAGCAGGCACGGCCCACGCCCAGTGTGGATAGCGCTTCCCCACACTCCTCTTCCTCTTCAGAGAGGAGAGGCAAGGAGCTGCTGATGGCTCTTTCCTGAGGTGTGGCCCAGAGAAACTCCCAGCCCGACCCAGTTGCCCCTTGGGGATCGAGAACTCACAGGAGTGTGGGTGCCGCCAGGGAGAGGAGAGGAAGCGGCCCAGGGGACTCTGCCAAGAGCAGCGTTCAGCCGGCTGAGGTCCCGCTACCAGGGGAGCATGGAAGTGGATCTGCCTCGCCAGGTGTAGGGCCAGCACGGCCAGGGTGCCCTGGGAAAGAAAGCAGCATGTCGGGAACACAGCCCCTGCCTGTCAATCACCATGGGCCGGAGCCTCTCCTGGCCACCATGTACTTTCATGGCACTTGGGCCTGGTGTTCTGTAGTCCTCTTCAATCAATCACTTACGGTCTGTCACTCCTTTTTAGTTTGTAAGCATGGCAGACGCAGGGCCCACGGCCCATGCACATTTTGGTATCCCTGGAGCCCAGGGCAGTGTTAAGTGAGAGTAGGGGCCTAAAAAATGCATGCTGAGTGCACGCGCCAGCAAGTGACCGAAAATAAAAGGGTCTAAGCAGGCAAAACGACGCTGTGGTAAGACGGAGCTTAGCTTAAAACACGGGGACAAGTCAGAGCTGGGGAGACCTTACCCATGAGATGGCATCCTGCAGAGTGTTTGGGTCTCTGTTCCTCCTTGGACCATAAGAGGCTGACCTAAATGGTACAATGAGAGGCTATTAAGTTCTGCACAGAATGGGAGCAGGAGGCCACATGTGACAAGAGTGTCCGTCTCTCACCTGTCAAGGCTGGGTCTAGAAAGCAGCGGGGTAGCGAAGACTGTCTGAGGCCCATCTGAACTGGTGGGCCTGGGTGTTATCTCCCGGAAGCCAGGTCCCAGCAGGCGGGGAAGAGCTGTGGGAGCAACAAGGATTAGGCACACCAAGAGCGATGGGTTGAAATAAAGATGGCCTCAACAATCCTCCTTCCAGCCAGCGAGGGAGCCTTACCCCAGAAACCCTGGGATCACTGACATCTACCTGTGCAGGTTGTGGTTTTTTTTTCCTGATGCTGGGGATGGAACTCAGGACCTCCAGCATTCTAGGCAAGCCCTCTACCACTGAGCCTACGCCCCTAATCCTTGCAGAGGTTCTTAAATCAGGGTACAGACAGAAATCTTGGGCCTAGTAGGGACCCCAAGGTACCACGACCCCAGAACTAATGAGGTAAGACCCCCTCAGAATAAGAGCACGATGACTTTGAAGAAACTCATCGGAGACTTTGTTCTAGAATCATAAACCTATAAACACGCATTCTCACTATACTGAGCACGTGTCTCCAAATTCCTCCTCTTTCCATTGGCTTTCCTTTATAGGCTCCGCCCCCACCCATCTCCTTGGATGTAAGCCCCGCCTTCTCCCCCCACTGTGCCCTACCACGTCGCAAGTCCCAAGGGCTCCAGGCTCCGCCTTCCCTGCATCTGGCCCCTCCTACTGCCGCTGCGGCCGTCGGCCCGCGGGGCGCAGCTCGTTGCAGTTCTGAGGCCGTGGCTTGTGGGAACTCGCCTTGCAGGTGACCCTTACCTCGCCCCAGGAGCCCCGCCAGGCGCCACATGTCGTGGCCAGCACCACAGAGAGATCGCAGCCGAAAGATCAAGGCCGAAGGGCCCGACAAGAAGCAGCGCGGCCGCCGAGCAGGTCCCAGCGGCCGCCTCTCCGGCCAGCCAATCAGCAAGGAGCCCTGCCGGAAGGATGGTGCTCTAGGGAGGAAGTGGTGGATGGGGCGGGCTTGGCGCCGGCGAGGTGAGAGCAGCCGGGACGTCAGGCGGTGCCAGGGCCCAGGAGGTGCGCGCGTCCGTGTGGCGGCTGCTTGGCGGGCTGAAGTACCCAGGGCAAGGTCCGCGCCCAGGGTCTGGCCCGGCTTTGTCTCCTTACGTTGGGGCTGGGCACCTTCTGAGGCAGGACTGAAAGGCGAACGAAATCCCAGCACAGCCCGGTTAACAGTTGTCAGAGGCGTTTTTTCTCCCTTCTCAGTCATCTGAGCAGAAACCCCGTTTACAGGTAGAGGGCAAGTACCAAGCCCGTTGTGCTCCCTTAGTGGCATCTGAGTTTGCTTTATCAGATTAGAATTCCATCCAAGGGGCCAGCCTATAAACTCGCTTAACAAAAGGGAAGTGAGGTGGCTTTTAGCAACCTTTTGAGATGTAAGTAGCCACCAAGCATACACATGACCAATAGGAAGAGTTGCCACTCCCGTTGAGGAGGTCGTACTCGCCCTACTTGGCTTCCCGGTGCGCCTTCTGAGCCTCACGTTTATGCCCAAGTTAAAGTTATCTTTAGTACAGTCCCCAGCTCTCCCTCGTCATAGTGGCTAGGCCTGAAATTCTCTCCATCCTCTACGCCAGGAATCCTGGTGTGCCTGCGTCAAGGTCCCTAAAGTATTAGGAGGATTCAGGCTGCTGAAGGTGACTGTGTAGTGCTGTTCCTCTGTCCCCTCACTGCTGGCATTCTGTTGCCTGGGCCCGGGTGCGAGGATAGGGTCAGCTGCAGCAATCATGACGGCTCTTTGCTGATGTGACAGGCTGAGCTCAGTCAGAGCCTCTGGTGCAGTTTCCGTCAATGTTAGTTTTTTTACACTATGGGGGGGGGGTGTTCAGACCTTCTCCTTCTCCCAGATATGTGACTTTTAGGTGGGTGGAAGTCTCTGGGATAAGAGTACTGGGTGTACCTACGATTAGACCCAGGCATGTGGTATGAAAGTTGTGTTTATCTGTTAAACAATCTCGAGCCATATGTCAGCCACCATTCTAGGATCTGAGAAGACAGATTGATAAAGAGCATTTGTGGCCTCCAAAAATACATGGTTCCAGTACATTACGAGTAGACTGAAGTAGGGTCTGGTGACAAAGTCTTCAGAAGCAGAGGCAGAAGGCTCGGTAGTTCAAGGGCATCCTCAGCTACAGACGTCTAAGCCAGCCTGGGCTACATGAGAGAGATAGATAGATAGGTAGATAGATAGATGATAGATAGATAGATAGATAGATAGATAGATAGATAGATAGATAGATAGCAGGCCTGGGACATAGGAGTTTGAGATAGGAGAATCACAGATTCAAGTTCTGGGCCATTCTGGGCTGTATAGTAAGACCTTGCCTCAAAAGAGAAAGAAGTGAGTCTGTAGGGCTGAACTCAGCGTCAGAGGCCAGGCCCATCCTACATGAGGCCAAGTTCACTCTCTAGCACTGGCAAAGAGCAGACGGGCGCTAGTCCCACAAACGCTGCTGTAAATACTAGCTTTCTGATTTCCTAGCTTTGTTACCTTTGCAGGGTGTTTTGTTTTGGTCTTTCAAGACAGGGTGTAGCCCTGTCTCTCTGTGTAGCCCTGGCTTTCCTAGAACTTGCTTTGTAGACCAGGCTGGTCTCAAACTCAGGGATCTCCCTCCTCTGGTATTAAAGGCCTGCGCTGCTACGGCTCCTTTTAAGGGTTCTTAAGCACACTTAGCCTGTTATCTTCTAAATAGGGGAAAACAATACCGCATGTAATTGTAAGATTCGAAACAATGTAAATGTTTAGTATAGGTCCTGGTACATAGAAAGAGCCCAAGAAAATTAAATTAGTACTGATTACAGTAATGAAGGAGGTAAGCAGGGAGCCAGTAATGAAGGAGGTAAGCAGGGAGCTGCACATTGTATTTTAATAGAAGTGTGAACAGTGGATGGGGCTGTGTCATGGAAGGGTTTATCCATGTGGTTTGTGTTTGAGTTGGGCCTTTAGACTCTAGCGAGTATTTCGGGTGGAGAAGGGGGAGGGGCATTACAAGCAGAGGAAACCACCGGAAGCTGCAGGAGCCTGAATGTGGGGAGGACTCAGAAATGTTCTTGCTTGGGGAGCTGGGACAGCCACCTCTCAGAGTCCATGCTGCCTGAAATAAAACCACAAGTGTGCTGGCTGCCTTGGCGCTGTTCCTCCTGGGAGTCCTGGGCTCTCCTTCCTCTCAGCCTGTCTGTAGTTGGCTTTCTTCCTCAAGGCTCAGCCAGATCTCAGGGCCGCAATGAGACTCCCCAACTGGTGGGGCCCTCCCCACCTCTCTGTTTCCCCAATCCCTGTAGTGCTTAATTTTTACTGCACAGTTTAGCAGTAATTATATGTTGTCCTGTTATTTAATTATCTCGTCTGTGTATGTGTATTCTTCCCAGTTCTTTCCCTCAGGACAGGGGTGGCATCTTCCCATTTTGTGTCCCACATGGGACTTACACTCACTGTCAGCCCACAAAATAAGTTTACACAATGTCTCTTAACTGCACACAGCCAGAAGCACCAGACCCTTATCATGGGGTAACTGATTGTGCAAAAATGTGTCTGTTCCATGTACATTCATTGAGGTCCTGTCCTGTTTGAAGTTAGTTGAAGGGGTTTGAAAGAGAGAATAAGGTGTCTGCCCCCATACACAAAAGCCACGGGTGGTGGCACGCACCAGTAATCCCAGCCCTTGGCTGATTGCAGCAGGTGGAGTATGAGTTCAGGGCCAATCAGATGAATAGTAAGACACCATCCAGAAGGAGGAAGAGGAAAGAAGGGACATTTTTTCCTCCAGAACCTTGGGGATATCACAAGACTACTTGAGTGGGAAGTGTGTGGAGTAGCTAGGATCCTCACATCCATTCAGTTGCAAGCCAAGGTAACACTGTTGGAATGACATCGGCTTTTGCCCTTACTAGAAATGCCAAAGTCTGAAGCCATCAGCCATTTTCTTCTGTTGCTCTCACAGTCTCTTTTTGGATTATGGCCCAAAGTCAAGTTGATTCAATCCTTTTACAAAGGGCAGCTGTTTTCATTAAGAACCTATTGTCTAGGTACCTAGTAAATCACTTCTTGTGATGTGTATTCAAGCCATTCTGTTCTTACAACAGGGAGTATTGTAGACATTTGTTCTTATCTTTACTTTTGTAGACATTTTAAATTTATATTAATCAAGTTTATGAGAGTGTGTTCAGTGCTAGTGATTGCCTAGAATATTTAACAACTTAGAAAAAGTGGCTGTAGCCCAGTGTAGTGGCCCATGCCTGTAATCCCAGGAGGTGGAGTAGGAGTGCCATGAGTTTGAGGGCAGCCTGGTCTACACAGTGGGTTGTTTTTGCAGGGGGCAGCAGTCAGTGCAGAGATGAATAACTGATCCAGCTGAGAAGTGACTAAACGATCATCTTCCAACGCTTAGGGAAGATTTCTGAAGAGGAGCAGAAAGACTACACGAGCTACAGGATGGGGAGTGTGACATGGCTATCACACTCATGAGCTCATGGCAGCTGTGGTTACTGGCACAAAATCAAGCCAGCTAAAATTCAGATGCAGTTGAGAGAGGTGCCCTCTAGGCCCACCCCTTATTTGAGAAGCCGTTGGCAGCTGATGTCTTCTTGGAGAGGAAGCGTTGTCTTTTGAGGGTGGGCTTCCCATGCTCCAGGGGATGACTTCACATCCATGCAAATGTGGCAGTGCTGACTCAGCTTTACCGCCTAGCAAAGGAGAAAGAAGACTTGAGGCTGAGAAAGAGATGTGTTGGGCAGATGCAGAGGACGTTGGAGAGGGAAGTGGGGAGTGTAAGGTATATACAGTCATATTTCACTGTATATATGTATGCACTTCCCAAGAATAAAGAGAATTATAAAAACAGAACCCTGTCCTCACTGAGGAAGCAATGCAGCAGTGCAAACAAAGCCAGCGGGCAGTTAAAATACAGTTGTTTCCTTATTTATTGCAGCATAAAACACTCCAAATCTTGGTGGCGTAAAGCCGTCATTATTTTCTTTAATTCTGTAAGTTGATGGGGCTCAGCTGGGCAATCCAGCTGGTCTCACTTGGTGTCTCTCATGAGGTCGTAGTTAGATGGCCGCTGGAGCAGCAGTCATGAAGACAGCTGGGGTAACCGAAAGACTGGGCATCTTCTTCGTGTGGTCTCAGGACCTCCTCACTCCACATGGCCTCTCTGTGTGGGCGCCTGAGTTCTTACATACATAGTGGATCAGGCTGCACAAAAGTAGAACTCCCAGCGTCTCAAAAAGTAGGCCTGGAACCTGCCCTGCTTCCCTTCTGTGCACTGTTTGTTAAAGCAAGTTAGCAGTTCAGCCCCAAATTAGTGAGGAAGAGTGTAGTCAGAGTTCCTTTTCAGCCTGGTCTCTTAGCCGAATAGTCTCAAATAAACACACAGAGACATATTAATTTAAACTGTCTGGCCAATGGCTCAGGCTCTTTGTTGGCTAGCTCTCACTTAATTATTTACTCATTTCTATTAAACTATGTATTGTCACGGAGCTGTGGTTTACCCATAATCCAGCATGTTACTCCTTTCACAGCATGGCAACTCTCTGGCACCTTCTCTCTGCTTCCTCTCTGCAGAATTCTCGTAGCCCCACCTATACTTTCTGCCTCAATGCTGGGCAATCAGTGTTTTATTCATCAACCAATAAGAGAGGCATATATACAGTAGGACATCCCCCATCAGAAGGGGAGGATCCCAGACATGAATGTGAGAAAGAGTGGCTCTTTGAAGACTAGCAGTTTCTACAGTAGGGACGGTGCAGGAGCCCCAGATAAGGTGACAGTGACAGCAATAGCAACTCCTCCTCTTGCTTTCCCTCCTTTCTTTTTCTCCCTTCCCTATTCTCTCTTCTCCTCCTCTTCTTCCTGTGTGTGTGTGCTCCCAGGCACATGCATCCAGAGGCCATAGAAAGACGTTGAATGTCTTCC